CATGCGAAACTTATATTCTAGTTTTACATATGACTATCTCCTCAAACTTTGGAATTGTCAGAGTCACTGGGAAACTGTGACAGCACCTGTAGCCAGATTGTCTTTGCATATTGAAACTTCTTCATTATGTAACATTTCTTGTTTCTAATAGATTAAATTTTGTAAATATATAATAGAAAATCAAATCTTCCTCTTCATACGAGGGTCAAACTGAAAGTTCTTAGAAAATCAAAAACTGATTACATTAGCCAGTTATTAGTTTTATTATATCTTTTCAAAATATTGTCCATTCACGTCAATACACCGCTGCATGCGATGGAACCACTGGGAAAAGCACTTTGCCCACTCGTCCTTAGGGGTCTCTTCAATGGCATCGCGATACGCAGCCACCGCTTCTTCAGCATTCATAAACCGCTTTCCTTTAAGTTTTTCTTTAATTTTTGGAAATAAATAAAAATCACAAGGCGCGAGGTCGGGGCTATACGGCGGGTGACCCAGTAATTCAACGTTTGATGTCGCCAAATAGTCGATCGTTCGCTTGGCGGTGTGCGACGAGGCGTTGTCGTGGTGAAGGAGGATCCTACTGCGAGGTCGTTTCTCTCGAACTTTTTCCAAGACAAGTGGCAAACAATTGGTAGTGTACCATTCTGCAGAAACTGTTTTTTGATCCTCTAACACAATTGTTGCAAAATGACCTATCCTTCCAAAGAACGAGGCCACCATTTTTTTTCCCGCACTTCGATATCTCTTCACTTTAGTTGGCAACTCCTCGAAAGGAAACATCCACTGAGCAGATTGTCTTTTGGTTTTAGGATCATAACAGTAAATCCAGCTTTCGTCACCTGTTAGTATGTCGAACACAGCATTTGAGTCACCTCCGTTAAATCTTTCAATCATTTTACGACACCAATCCACACGATGGAGTTTTTGAGCCTCAGTCAAATTATGAGGTATCCACCGGGCGCAAAGCTTCCTGACCGCTAAATGTTCGTGGAGGATTTTGTGCACTTGACTCATACCGATGCCTAAGCTTGTCCGAATCTGTTGATAGGTCACTCTTTTGTCAGTCTCTATCATACGCCGCACAACACAGATGTTATCTTCAGTCGTCGCCGTAGAAGGCCGTCCCTCACGTAAATCATCAGTGAGATTAGTGCGACCACGTTTAAACTCATTAAACCAGTTGTAATCAGTCGCACGAGATGGGGCTTCATCGTGAAAGGCCAATCGTAGTCTATCATAACTTTCTTGTTGACTTAAATGACATCGAAAGTCATAAAAAATCATTGCACGAAAATTTTCTCGTGTTAAATTCATGATGACGTGACACAGACAATTTTCAATTTGCCGCCAAATCGTAAAACAAATGACAAATTAATGAAATATATACTCAGTAATATTGGCAAAGAGTTATATTTTTTTATTATATTGTTTATAAGTGGCCAGTTCTAAGAACTTTCAGTTTGATCCTCGTAACACACCTAACACCCGGTTTCTGAACTGAGAATTTTAAGTTCTCAGTTCAGAAACTGTACTTAAACGTCACTTAAACAGGTTTTCGTTTATGAATTTTAGTTTTTTCAATGATCAGTTAATAGTAGTTTGATGAAACTAGGTTTTTTTTTACTTGTGAAAAGTACGTAAATAAAAAACACTTAAGTTATTGACAATAATCAGTTGCGATTATGTATTTTTCTCAATTCAAAACTCAGTACAAATACAAATAAATTCTAATAGACTTCATCTGCGGAAAAAATTAAAGTGAGTTCAATTTTGGTATACATCTTTTTTACGGTGTTATAATCACAGTGGTAAATCGACATTCATATCGTGATAGCACAAAAAATATTTCAGGTTTAAGGTTACGATAATTAGCTTTTCACGAATATCTCACGTCTTAAATCGAATCGAACGAATATCTCACGTTACAATGTTGTTCTATAGGCTCGATATAAGAGTTATTCAGTATCTTATTATCTGTAAAAATTGTTTTTATATTTTCGTTACGATCAACAGTTTTTAAAGTAGAGCATAAAGGAAGCGGCTAGGACACTTACGCTATTGTATGCCGTACACCAAACTCTATTGCTTTTATTCATGTTTTATACTTTGATTTCATGCTTGGACGATAAATATGATAAATAAATACATTTCTATAATTCGGAAAATATAGCAATTAAAGTTACACATAAAAACATCTGAGTATAATATACACTTTCTTCTTATACAAGTAGTGTCGCAACTAGTGTAGGTTGGCAGTCAGCTTCTCGAATTCTGTTATATTCTGGGAAAGACGAAAGAGCTCAGCGACGTTATTGATACCAGTCCATTCTCTCATGTTGCGCAACCAGTAATTTCTCCTACGACCAGGTTTCCTCTATCCAGCAACTTTTCACATCATAATTAGTTGCAGGATTTCATATCTGTCATGCTTAAGGACATGCACTAGTGTATCTGTATTAAATAGAGTTGGTGACAAAATGCAACCCTGTGGTACCCCCCTCCCAATGTCTATCTCTTTAGATTCCCGGACCCGGACTATTGCTTGCTGGTTCTAATGCACATTCTATATATTATATTACAATTCTTTTATTCAACATAGATATAGGACACAGTAGAATAAAAACAAACATGCAGAAGAAAGCTTAAAATAAAAATAAAAATAGTGTCCCAAGCCTGTGTCAAAAACGCATCTAGTTCAGTATTTGTCAGTGACGCTGACGCTGATTTTAGTCCGCTGTCGATTTTCAACTAGACCCTTTTCTTCTTTGACATGCGGACTCAAATTTACTTAATTGTTCATCGCATTCTCATCATTCTAATATGTTCATAAATTATTGATAGATTTTTTTAAAATATTTGGCTTATGATATTTATAGTCCTCGATTTATTTTGGGTTTTACACAATATAGCTTTAATTTATATAAGATTAAACAAATCTTACTGTCCTTAAATATTTTCGTCATATACATACGAGTAGTAACTGTCGAAAAACTATTCTTTCAATTTCAGTATTGCTGCCTTTTGTGATAAAAGTAACAGTGCGGTAAATCAAAGAATAGTAGGTACACTCTTTGTTTAAGGTAAAAAAAGGCTTAAAAAGACTTGACTAAAAGGTCTAGTACTTATTAAATGTTAAGGTAAACCTTTAAAACAAAATAATAAACATTTATAACATGCAGTATTTATCAACGTCTTGCAATCAAGTTAATACAGGTAACCTTTACTATATTATATATAGGTACTAGACAAACTGGTTTGTTTGTATTAACATAAAATGCAGCAATTAAGTGAAGTCCAAGATATTAAGTTTTGCAAGGATTACTAAATAAAAGAGTAACAAATAAAATTTAATATTACTTGGTATATCTAGTAGTTTACCTGATATACAAAAAAACGCGTCAATAAATCAATACAGCGGCAAATTTGAAGATAAACTATTATTATTCTTATAATACCAATTTGGAATTAATTTTTAATGAAAATAATTCAAAAGTAAACTAATAATTTATTATTGTATAATAAGGTTTAATATAATCAAATTAATCTAACAGTTTTGTATACGTAAAATTCTGCTGCGATAATATTACACAGGCACCACAAAATTGAAATATTCATAATCAATTATGAAGTTAATTGTCAACAGACTATCGTTTGTGATTGCTCGGAGTCTTTTTTTCTTGGAGCCATTTTTTTTAACTCGACAGGCTGGCAACTGTACGTTCAATCTTATATGTAATCAACATAACATTTAAGAGTACCTAATCTTGTATGTAGAAGAATCATCTTTATAGTAACTTCTGTAATCAATTTGATTGTATGAGACTTGGCACACTGTTTACATTTTAGTTGGTCAAAGTAGCTGCGCCTAAAGTTGGCCTTTCTGTTTTCGCTTCTATTTTGCTTACTGTGACGCTTTATGCTTTCACGCGTGGTCCTGTTTTATATAATTGAACTTTCCTTTTGAACCACTCTGAATACCGATGAAAACCTCAGTAAAATCCATTGTGTAGATTAAAAGATTTCTGCGTGCAGACAGCGCGAAGCAACTTTGTGTTATACCATGTATAGATTAAAAATAGTATACATTCAATAAAATCTTACAGTGATTTTTAGTTACAACGTTGTTATATAAGCTAGTTTTACTAAGGAGATAAGATAAAATTCAGAAAAGAATTGCATTGTTAATGAAGTTACAAGCTCTCTGCCCGTAGGATAATAAAAATCTCGAACGCCGCTAGAGATGTCGAGACGTGACCGGCGCTTCTATCGATAAAAACATTTCATTCTTAGAGGATCCTTTGTCTTTTATCCACATAATAGAATTAAAATGTGCGCTCGCCAACAATATTCGATACGTACGTGGTCGTACTCGATAGGTAACATAATTTTGGCGTTACGATAACATTTTTATTTAACAAAATTCTTTTTAGAGAACACAAAATAAAAGATAATTTTATTTATTGTGGCTTCGTTAAAATAAGAAGTCTATTATTCAGTTATTAAAAGTGTTACATGGGTTATTTTTTTAATAATACTGTGGCCACCGATAGAATGCGTTCCTGACATATGTCAAATATCTTTAACTAGGCTATAGACTTAACTTAACATTGATATTATTTTTAATGAAAATATAAATAAATCATTCATAAATACAATATTTATATTTACCTCAATAAAGATTACATGCTATTCGTTACAATTGAAATAAGTCAAATTATTAATATCATAATTTTTATTATACTTATTATACTTATTATTATTAATACCATTATCAGACAAAGATATTTTTTAGTATACTTATTATTTTACTTCGAAATATTCGCTATAATTGACACATATTTTTGGTACATCATTACAAAAATGAAAATCTGACTTATTTTTGTAGCAGCGAAAATATAAATTTTTAACAATATTATTTTTTCGTTAACTAAACTTATTTTATATTCTTTTGTCCTTATAGTACTGCCAATAGAAAAATGTCAATTAGAAGATTCAGCATGTATGGTGGCATCGTTTCAAAAAGCCACTCCAGTGTTTATGGGAGGTTTGCCAGAATTAGGAATCAATGTCCTAGATGTGTTGGAGATGAATGATGTCAAGTTCGACCTAGCTGGACTGCAGTTTCAACTAACCGGAGGACGTTTGAAGGGGCTCAAGGAGGCTATAGTCGATAACGTCAAGTGAGTTAAAATATTTAGATCGAATATGAATTAAATGCTTCGGTTTTAGATCATATAATATCCCGATATCGTTTTAGTACCCAAATAGTGAATACCACTAAAACATTTGTTTTGGTGGGTCTTAGTCGAAAACAAATGTTTTGGCGGGTCGTAGTGATTTAGACGGACTATAAATATTGGTGGTATTAATATTGCGCCCGACAATAAGATAGATAAGGACATAGGGTAGTAAAATATGTAGTATCATTATAGTTTGCGAGCTAGAAACCTATTTTGAGGTTTCTAGCTCGCAAACTATAATGATAATTGAAAAAGTGCTGCATAGTTCCCTCGGCTATAAAATAATTTACATAAGTATCATTTTTTACTGTAAAATGGTATAATTACAACAAAAAAAAAAGGGAATTTCAGTATAACTTTGTGATTTATTATCTGCCGATAAATTTGAAAAAAAAAATGCGCTTGGGCTATAATAGGACCTTTGGATATTTTTTTAACGCGTTATTTATTACAGTCTTAATTATTTAGTTGAAAATAGTTGAAACATGAGTGCTTTAAGCTGCACGGGTCTTGTAATAAGCTATTATACATTTTTATAATCGAACAGTTATGTTTGGGAAAATTTTACTAATCATATTTATAAGTTAAAATCCCAAATATTTTGGGATCAATCATTGTATACTGTTATCACTTATGTCACTAACATAAATGAAAACTTGGCAACTAATACACGCTGTTTGCTCTTTGCTCACGCAAACATGAAACTCAAACGGCTTCACTATTGTCGTTGTGCTTTGTAAGGGACACGGAATCTGGATATTAAATAATCTAAGGCTTAGGTGTAAATGTTTACAGGAATCCTAACCACTTAAACGTCCAAATCGCGTCTTCATATACACAGCAATTCACACCAACTTATCAAGCGATATTTAAGTTACCGGCTAGTCAATTGTGCTATTTTTTTAATAAAGCGTTATCTATATTTCGTTTGTGAAAATCGTTCAACCTACTTATAAAATTTGAAACAAAATGATTAGATTATATATCAATTATATAAGCAATGAATCTTGTTTCAATGATATCTTTGTCTAGTATTTACTACAAATTAAGGACCCATCTCCCTTATTTTCAGATGGAATCAAAACAAGAAGAAGATAGTTGTTGATTTCCACACTAACAGTACTGTCAAAGGTCACTACGTAGCGGGCGGTAGAATTCTAATTTTACCAATCACTGGAGATGGACAAATTACGATGAAGCTAAGTAAGTTCTATGAAAAAGCATTACGAATGAGAGTTTATGCAGGAGCATGAAGAACTATCCATAATATATTATTAGCTTTTTTCAATAGTATCGATAATCTGGATAGTGAAAAATATTGTGCTATGAAGTTATGTCGATATCGATATATCCATCGATGTCATAGTTTTATATTCACTCGTTTTCCAAAAATTTGATGACATCAAACATGAGCCCAAAATTTTTGGAAGTGTCGGTTTTTTGTTTCGATAAAAAAATATAATACCTAAAACGACATTAATTTATAAGATTGTGTTAATTGTTGCGCCGAAATCTATAATATTTGTTTTAGTGTTATTGGTGCTAAAATTGGTGGTCTGCGAACGATAGGTAGGGAAATGGCACATATATTATTCCATATCTAAGGAAGGTTACTATCGCAACTATCGATCAAAGGCGATATTATTGGTAGGACTATACATTTCTCATTCTTCACAGTGTTATGATTTTATCGATAAATTATCACAATTCTAACATCTCCGTTATATATATTTTGTTTACACATATATTTTGTTTGTTAGTTTCAGTGCAATTATTATAATAGGTAGGTAGGTAATGTACTGCTTGTTTCCTTTTTATATTATTTTGGACTATCTTTAAAAACATGCCAGTAGCCATATGTACCATAGTACATTATTAATAACAATACAAGAGCTATTTATTTATATTTTAAGATGATATACTTAAAGTGTGTGATTTGCAATGATTTTTATATAAATGAGTGATTTATTAATTCATATTAAAACCATTGAGGTCTCATAAAATCATTCCGGATTATTTTAAGATTTTCCCGATGAAATACTAAAACAGATCTTTTAAATGGAAAACGCATTTATATTCGTGTTATATTAATGGATTTAAATGAATTTTTATTTGACTGCAAAATCCATTTTTAATTAGAAAAAAGACTTACATTTTCGTACTTTGTAAGTGAAAATGTATATATAATCTTATATAAAAGTTAAATTGACGATCAGCATAATTTACATTGAGTTCCTGAAATAATACAGTGGAAAATTGTCTTGTCTACATTTTGTTTTATTAAAAGACTATTGAATAAAAAAGAAGCGATGTATTTTTTTATTGGTATGGTTGTGAGTCATACCAGCATCTCGATCGGATGTTCATCTGAATTCCAAACAGGAGTCAGATTATTTTGTCATGAATAATGCTTTTGATTTCGAAAGACACTCGAGGCGTTAAAATATAACTCTTAGAACGAATAATCTGCAAGTGCGAATTTTCAGTTTTTAATTTGAAAATCGTAGTTTCTCCATTTGTTTTTGCATTTACTGCTATGTTGATTCATTAGCAAATATATTAATTTATTAAACAAATATAGCGATTAACTAATTATAGCAACTTCTAATTGATATTTAGTAAATGAAAGTTTCAAACGCATTTAAATAGGCATGTTATCACTCCTTGATGTAATATTTAAGTCGACATTTTATTGGTGGTGTCTTTTATTACATCATCATCATCATCATCAGCCCTTTTACATCCCCACTGCAGGGGCTCAGGCATTCCTTATGGATGGTTAAGGAGGATGGGCCATAATATTTTGATATACAATGTTTTAGCATCTTCACCGTCGCTTATGAGCTCAATAAAAATGTTGACAGAGCTAGTGTCTCAGAAATACTGTTGTGTGCAACTAGTTTCATATGTGTCAAAAATAAGTTTTGCAATGAAAAAGTTGTTGTTTATTATTTGTTTAAGATTTCCTTTTATTTTATATTGCAGAAAATGTAGCAATCAAGTTCACAATGGACTATGATACCGAGAAAGATGGCGAAGGAAAAACTCATATTGTACCCAAAAAATATCATTTTGATTTCGAGGTAAAAGATGGTGCACACTTTACGCTGACAAACTTATTTAATGGGAATAAACAATTAAGTGAGTATTAATCATAACAAATAAACAAGATACTATTAGACTAGCTGTAACAGGAAGAACGTTGTTACTTACTATTCTCATTTTTATTATCTCCATAACAAAAACATTTCTTCTCAGTTCGACGCATATTTTTAATAATTATTCAAAGTTAGATAATCCGATAGAAGTTAAGTGGTTAGTAACACACAATTACAAGCTATAAAAAAAAAGACGCGAAAATTTATTTTTCTTAGAAATAGTTTCATTTAACTTTATTTGTTGTTAAATACTTAAGAACATAATTCTTATATAATCTTACTAATTATTCAAAGGTATTCATTATCTTAGTAATTGATATTACAAGTGACATAATTACTATCATGCTTTGTTAAATTTTTTATAAAAGATTTGTTTACGATGAGAAAAATGTCTAGCGCAATTCAATGGTAAATGTATCTCGCGTTTGTCATGATTCATTATTAAGGTACATACTTATAAAGATGAATGATGTGCCAGCATATTATATTAAGCATTATCATAGTACACTTAAAACTATAGTTTGATTTAATTTAAGAATAGGATTCTCAGTTATTAAGAATGAAGTCATTAATTACACAGTGAACCGAGACATTAAGGTATCACATTCATATAGATCGCACAATCGGATTTGGCATCACTGGCTTATTTATCGAGAGCTATTAAAAAAACTAGTTATGTCCTAGATGAAAATGTTCATAATAATTTAAAACCTCTTCACAACTAATTAGCTGTTTTCTGTTAGCACTAACTAAAGTCAATTTTAATGATGTAATACTGCATTTTTTATTCTGTAATCGAGTAACAGAAATTGGTTATTAAAGTATACAGGAGTATTAACATTTATTAGTTTACATGTTACTTACGGTCAGTTGCACAAATATCCATTAAGGTTAAATGGCACCTTTAAACCCTAATGAAAGTCAAATTTGTATCGGTAATGTCGCTTTTAACTAATGAATTTTAATGGACGTTTGTGCAATTAGCTGATGAGCAGAGAAATGTTATACACAAATTAAAATAGAGAGACACGCATCTTCTTATTATAAAACGAGCACTAGTGTGTAATTGACACCGCAGAAGAGAAAACGTCACATTGATACGTGTTAATTTATTTTGGTAGGATAATAGTATAAAATTGGTAATTATAATAAAGTTAGTCTTTGTTTTACATAAAATATGACGGAAAATATACTACATAATTAATTGCATTGCCATATTTTAGCGTCGATCGGATAGAAAAAAGAAATTCTATTTAGTCCGTTACTCAGTTATTAGAAAAATGTTAGACACGTATTTTTTTTACTTCAGTTTAACAAGAAATAGCTAAAATAAAAGGCATTAAAGTCGAGGAGTAGGGGCTCGCTACGTCACAGTTTTGTACAAAAAGTACAAAAGCGTTACGTTAAAAAGTTCGTTATGTGTCATTTTAACTCAATGTATCGTTGTAAAAAAATAGGAAATACGTATTTTACCATAACTATTCTCAATTATTCTTAGAAACTATTCAATGAGAAAAGGAAATAGCCCATATAATTTCTACCAGGAGATCACGACGATATAGGAGATCCTTTATTTGTAAGATAAGTATTATGTTCATTTATTCGACCTTATCGGGTGGACTCACAATCCCCGTTGATCGCCAGCATCTTTAACGAGTCACTAATTGCAGTTCCATCTGGAAATGATAGGAAAAAATTACGGTAACATTGTGTTGTCACGAATTGTTCTTTGAAAGAAAATTATTAATTGCACGCGCTAATAATGAGATATGTCAAAGGAAAACCTTTTATATTAGACTCAATTATAGTATGGACAATGTTGAACTCTCTAAACTGAATTAAACAATTTAAATATAAAAAAATAATATCGGCTTATCATCATCAGGAGACTATTAATGTCCCCACTACTAGTACAGCCATCTCTGGATAGAATCGAATAGGGAAAATAGGCCATGACCTACCACACGGACCCAGTGAGTTGGTGGGCGGATTGGTGGGTGTTAGCGATTGCAGGAACGGAGGAGTTCGAGATAATAAATTTTTGGTCACCCATCTTGTGACCGGCCTTTACGAAAATCACTTAATTTTCGTATAGCAGACCGAACGCTTTAGCTACTGCGGCATTGAGCTCCTCAATTTGGCTTTATTTTGTTGTCAGTCGGGCAACGCTTAAATTACAAATGTTCCTAAAATATGATGTACCTACGGATGACGGACTTGTAATGAGAAATTTGGTTGGAATTTTGGTTTATTTAAGTTATCATCTAAATACATCATCTATCGAAATTTTTACTGTCTATCATGATTCATGAGATATAGCCTAGTGACAGACAGATAGACGGGCCGATAAAATATAAAAACAAATGTTTCTTTATTTATAGACTACACGAAACCTACAAATATTACTATGGTTTTTCAAATTTAATATTTGCCAGAACCCTCTGAACGTTAATCCGACTCGCTCATAATGTAATTTTTGAGCACAGTGTGACTTTCTTTAAGCTTATTGTATCGGTAATTAATATACTTTTTTTTTTCACGAGAACTAATTAAGTACCAACCTATAAATATTTATTAGGTATTTTATATAGGACTACCTATGTATGTGATGTTTTGTAAATTTTCTCTATCTTTACTAATATTATATAAGGTGCTCCTCTACTGCCTCAGCACACACGCACCAGCCGCACGACACGAACGCATTGCACGGACTTGTTAATGCATATGTCCACTGCAGTCGCATTTTCATAGACGCTTTTGTGAAAAATACGACTGACAGTTTTGACATCGGCATTATGATGATGACATCATAGGAATTTTTAATATAGTTCGTTGCGTGTCGTGCGGCCGATGCGTGCGTGCGTGACATATGGACGATCACCTAAAGAGGTAAAGTAGGGTTATCTTTGGAAATACTGATAGTATGATCAAGAAAATTATTTTACCTATGGGAAGCTATATTATAGGCGAGTGGTTATAGGTTAGGAAAATAATTTACACTAGTGAAATCGGAGGAAATCAGCTAGTTTTTGTATAAAAGGCAAAGATTCTATTAACTATTGACACACAGGTTAATTTACTGAACGGATCGAGCTGCAATTTGGCACACTAATAGATGTAACAAAGAGGGAAGATAAGACAGGATTTTGAAAAATTTTATCTTGAAATAAAAAGGTTAAATAAGCCGCAAGCAGAAAGAAAAACATACAGTCGTTTTGAAAGTCGATTAAAAAGCTAATATAGCTATCTATTTATTTTCATAGCTTTTTTTGTTATTGTCCTTGTATACTTTTCGATTGATTCCATAATAAGAGCTAAATTAGAAATAATATTTTGCTTTATACTTAATTAACATTTTAGATAGAAGTCAAATAGTGACTTAGGGTGGTGACTGAGATTAGTGGAAAGTTTAAACGATAATATTGTTTACAGAAATTATGAGATAATTAATAAATGTTAACAAAGTTAAAATGAATGTTAATGAGTGTGTAAAGTATATACCTACTGATTTATGTAAACGATTTAACGAGAGCATAGCGCGGCCAATGTCATAGATACTTTAGATACATTGCTGTGAGGTATGGAAAAATGTTAATATTACATGTTCGGTTATGTATTGAACAAGTTGAATACCTTGAGATCTATTTATGGAATTACCTACTATATTATTTCTTTATTATGTACTCTATTTCTTATTGTTACAACGGAAATTTTATACTGCGCCATAATACTTATACGTTTATAAGTAACTCGAATCGTCAGTGGCTAGTGTGTATGGTATGCAATAAACGTGGTTAAGCAATTTTCATAAAGGTCGGTCATTGGATGGGTGACCAAAAATTTATTATTTTCGTTTGGGCTTTCTTCGGAAGGTTAACATCTCCAATTCGCACTGTGGGTTACGGCTAGGGTTACCACCCGTACTTTATAATAAAGTATAAAAAATGTGAAATATCTAGTAGCGATGTGCGTTATAAACTACATATTAGATTTGATTGATTACAGGTGACGCGATGCACACGTTCCTGAATGACAACTGGAAACAGATTTCAACCGAGTTTGGTAGACCGATAATGGCTTCAACAGCTGATTCTATATACAAGAATATTATTATATTCTTCCAGAAGATGGCCATTGACGATATTTCAATTTCATCGTAGACACCGAGCTGAATTATTGAATCTTAAAAAGAGGGTCGATGTAATGGTTTGTCGATAATATGGTACGGAACTATATAGTTACAAGTTTAGTAAATTATTTAATATTTAAAGTTCTTTTTTTATTTCATATTCTCTATATTAAGACATGGGGTATCAAAGTCGAGGGAAAACCGAACAAATTTCTCCTTCGGTGAAAATATGGAGAAGATCGCGGTACCCTATTTATCTCTTTCTACTCACAAATGCTCATTTACAAAGTTCCGTGGCCGAGTAGTTCGCACCCCGGTTACAAGGGAGCACTATTTCTAGTCCCGGATTCGATTCTCGGTCAGATCACTGAAAATGAACTTTTCTCCATGTCTCGGGTCTGGGTGTTTTGGTATCTTCTTTATCTCAGATAGTCTATAATACGAGGGTTTAGCTATTCATTTTGAAACTGGCCAATGTATATGATGTTGTCTAATATTTATTTATTTATAATGTTATTTTAAAAAAAACGAACATAAAGGCTAGACTGATAGAAAAACAATCCGACTAAGAAACGAATTTTCTTTTCACCGTACATACGAGGGTCAAACTGAAAGTTCTTAGAACTGGCCACTTATAAACAATATAATAAAAAAATAATTCTAAAATTTGAAAATATAACTCTTTGCCAATATTACTGAGTATATATTTCATTCATTTGTCATTTGTTTTACGATTTGGCGGCAAATTGAAAATTGTCTGTGTCACGTCATCATGAATTTAACACGAGAAAATTTTCGTGCAATGATTTTTTATGACTTTCGATGTCATTTAAGTCAACAAGAAAGTTATGATAGACTACGATTGGCCTTTCACGATGAAGCCCCATCTCGTGCGACTGTTTACAACTGGTTTAATGAGTTTAAACGTGGTCGCACTAATCTCACTGATGATTTACGTGAGGGACGGCCTTCTACGGCGACGACTGAAGATAACATCTGTGTTGTGCGGCGTATGATAGAGACTGACAAAAGAGTGACCTATCAACAGATTCGGACAAGCTTAGGCATCGGTATGAGTCAAGTGCACAAAATCCTCCACGAACATTTAGCGGTCAGGAAGCTTTGCGCCCGGTGGATACCTCATAATTTGACTGAGGCTCAAAAACTCCATCGTGTGGATTGGTGTCGTAAAATGATTGAAAGATTTAACGGAGGTGACTCAAATGCTGTGTTCGACATACTAACAGGTGACGAAAGCTGGATTTACTGTTATGATCCTAAAACCAAAAGACAATCTGCTCAGTGGGTGTTTCCTTTCGAGGAGTTGCCAACTAAAGTGAAGAGAGATCGAAGTGCGGGAAAAATAATGGTGGCCTCGTTCTTTGGAATGATAGGTCATTTTGCAACAATTGTGTTAGAGGATCAAAAAACAGTTTCTGCAGAATGGTACACTACCAATTGTTTGCCACTTGTCTTGGAAAAAGTTCGAGAGAAACGACCTCGCAGTAGGATCCTCCTTCACCACGACAACGCCTCGTCGCACACCGCCAAGCGAACGATCGACTATTTGGCGACATCAAACGTTGAATTACTGGGTCACCCGCCGTATAGCCCCGACCTCGCGCCTTGTGATTTTTATTTATTTCCAAAAATTAAAGAAAAACTTAAAGGAAAGCGGTTTATGAATGCTGAAGAAGCGGTGGCTGCGTATCGCGATGCCATTGAAGAGACCCCTAAGGACGAGTGGGCAAAGTGCTTTTCCCAGTGGTTCCATCGCATGCAGCGGTGTATTGACGTGAATGGACAATATTTTGAAAAGATATAATAAAACTAATAACTGGCTAATGTAATCAGTTTTTGATTTTCTAAGAACTTTCAGTTTGACCCTCGTATGAATTGTAAAGATTCTACTCGTGCTGCAATCATCGTCGTTGAAGCTCAACGCTGTCATAGTATAGAGATTCAATCCAATAAAGCCTGCTTCAAAGGTGATAAAAGTCTTTGCTAATGGGTTATTTCATTAAATCTTTGTGTTGTGACAGAGCTGTGCTCGACGTTGCGTTCGAGGTTACTTTTATTACAGAATTGCAATGCATTCATTATGTTTGTAATTCGACGATATGCAAACCCTGTAACTCCGTTTTATTTGAATAATTCTCTGTTATACTTTCAATGAAACAACAAAAATATATTTCGATAAGCCTTGTCCTAACCATTGCATGTAGGATACTAAATTATTTAAATTTAGCTTTTGATAATTGTGCTTGTAGGAGTTAATATGATATTTGAGAGTCTGGTCTAATGTGTCTTCGAATGAAAAGACAAAAATTATTGGTTATTCTTATTATTTTCTTAAAATCATATCCATGTAAATTCTCTGTGCATCAGAAGCAATGTCAGATCTTACGGGATTGCATCATAAATTACCGAATAAGCGTTTCTCTATAGTCGTATTAGCTTTTCAAAAATAAACGAAATTTACAGAGAAATGGAATAGGCCTTTAATGTTCGTACGGAAGACTATATAACTTCTTAAACGGGTATGATGCTCATATTAATATTTAACGGCCAAAAGTTATTTCATTTAATTACTCGTAAACCATTACGATTATTGTTAAGTTCTAAATCAAAGCCTTCATCTATAAAGTGTCTCAGACATTCCCTATAAAAACAGGATAATAAAAGAGGACGAGAATTAATTTTTTAAAGATAGTTTTCTAATTTTTCTAACGAGAAAATTTTATAAGTTCACGTATAGACCTAGACCTATCAAACATGATTTTCACCCGTTTTCACTAACCTAGAACAAGGCATCGCTTAACTAGGAAACTCCTAATCTCACGAATTGCTAAAGGAGATTAATTTAATTCCAAATAAACATTTATTCTTTTATCCCCTGACACATTAGTAAAATGTCATGTTAAGCAAATGCGCATAACGCATGTCATAACTTTAGAGATTGCTTAATGTCGTTAGGTGGTTCCTAGCAATTAGTGAAGTGCATTTTCACCTTAGGCGATTCCTAAATATTTAGGCGACTCCTAAGTTTTTATGAAAATGGGTATTAGTTTCCTAATTTTTAAGTTCATATTATTTTAACCATTGAAAAGACTTGAGTATATACGAGGGTCAAACTGAAAGTTCTTAGAAAATCAAAAACTGATTACATTAGCCAGTTATTAGTTTTATTATATCTTTTCAAAATATTGTCCATTCACGTCAATACACCGCTGCATGCGATGGAACCACTGGGAAAAGCACTTTGCCCACTCGTCCTTAGGGGTCTCTTCAATGGCATCGCGATACGCAGCCACCGCTTCTTCAGCATTCATAAACCGCTTTCCTTTAAGTTTTTCTTTAATTTTTGGAAATAAATAAAAATCACAAGGCGCGAGGTCGGGGCTATACGGCGGGTGACCCAGTAATTCAACGTTTGATGTCGCCAAATAGTCGATCGTTCGCTTGGCGGTGTGCGACGAGGCGTTGTCGTGGTGAAGGAGGATCCTACTGCGAGGTCGTTTCTCTCGAACTTTTTCCAAGACAAGTGGCAAACAATTGGTAGTGTACCATTCTGCAGAAACTGTTTTTTGATCCTCTAACACAATTGTTGCAAAATGACCTATCCTTCCAAAGAACGAGGCCACCATTTTTTTTCCCGCACTTCGATCTCTCTTCACTTTAGTTGGCAACTCCTCGAAAGGAAACACCCACTGAGCAGATTGTCTTTTGGTTTTAGGATCATAACAGTAAATTTAGCTTTCGTCACCTGTTAGTATGTCGAACACAGCATTTGAGTCACCTCCGTTAAATCTTTCAATCATTTTACGACACCAATCCACACGATGGAGTTTTTGAGCCTCAGTCAAATTATGAGGTATCCACCGGGCGCAAAGCTTCCTGACCGCTAAATGTTCGTGGAGGATTTTGTGCACTTGACTCATACCGATGCCTAAGCTTGTCCAAATCTGTTGATAGGTCACTCTTTTGTCAGTCTCTATCATACGCCGCACAACACAGATGTTATCTTCAGTCGTCGCCGTAGAAGGCCGTCCCTCACGTAAATCATCAGTGAGATTAGTGCGACCACGTTTAAACTCATTAAACCAGTTGTAAACAGTCGCACGAGATGGGGCTTCATCGTGAAAGGCCAATCGTAGTCTATCATAACTTTCTTGTTGACTTAAATGACATCGAAAGTCATAAAAAATCATTGCACGAAAATTTTCTCGTGTTAAATTCATGATGACGTGACACAGACAATTTTCAATTTGCCGCCAAATCGTAAAACAAATGACAAATGAATGAAATATATACTCAGTAATATTGGCAGAGTTATATTTTCAAATTTTAGAATTATTTTTTTATTATATTGTTTATAAGTGGCCAGTTCTAAGAACTTTCAGTTTGACCCTCGTACTTACACTTAACTACACGACTATTTAAAAATCACCATAACACATCCCTTTCTCATCTTTGACTCTTCAATCTGCACGCTCAAGTGTAATAATCTATAACTTTAATAATACGATTTTTCGAAGGTAAGTGTTAATGGTTTCCGAGCATTTACTGAAAGTTGCAGTTAGCACAAGGCTTTATTGTCAGGCCGCACCTATGTTAAAAAGTTAATTTTCCGCTCCGTTGACAGTTTCGATTCGCTCAACGAATGAGTGTGGACAGCGTGTCATTTTATTATTTATCAGCCCAATGAAGATGTAATACAATATTTGACAATGCTCAGATGGTTGATAGAATTTCCGATAGAGACAAAAGTCTCTTGGATTTAATTGAGTGTCAGAGTCACATTACAAATGTATTGTTTGAAAACAATTACTGTATTATTGACATGCATAAAATTCTGTGGGAAAAAGCTCGAACAAATGCCTAGATGTTTTTTTATAAACTGTGGAAATAGTCATAATGAAAAATGCCAAAAAAATTCACTTCATGGCATCACATTTCACTCCTAAGTATATTAAAACACATTTTGAATATTCCGTATCTTCTCTTTTTGTTTTAATCAAAGCGTTTAAT